TTAGTTGAAAATCAGTTGACCTTATAAGTGTGTGTTTATCTCTGAATTTTCTATTCTGTTCCATTTATCTATATGTCTCTGATTATCTCATATCACACATTTGTTAGTGTTTATTACTGTATCTTCTTAATACTTGTCCTTTTTTAAAATAGATTTTATTTTCAAGAACAGTTTTAGATTTACAGAGAAATTGAGAAGATAGTATAGAGTTTCCCTGTACCCCACATCCAGTTTCCCCTATTATTTACATCTTCCAAAGTATGGGTACGTTTGTCACAATTAATGAACCAATAACCCAAACCCGCTGTCAAGTTGATTCTGACTCATAGTGACCCTATCTGACAGAGAACTGTCCCATAGGGTTTCCAGGGCAGTAATCTTTACAGCAGCAGACTGCCACAGCTTTCTCCCATGGAGCAGCTGGTGGGTTTGAACCACAGACCTTTCAGTTAGCTGCCAAGCACTAAACCACTGTGCCACCAGGGCTCCTTAATAAACCAATAGTGGTATATTATTACTAACTAAAGTCGATAGTTTATTAAGATTTCTTTAGTTTTAACCTAATATCCTTTTTCTGCTCTAGGATCCCATATTACATTTAGTTGTCAAGTCTCCTTAGACTCTTCTTCACTGCATCAGTTTCTCAGACTTTCCTTGCTTTTGATAACCTTGACAATTTTGAGGACTAGTCCTCACAATTTTTTGTGGGATGCCCCTCTATTGAAATTTGTCTGATGTTTTTCCAGTGATTAAGATTGGGGTTTTGGGGAGGAAGATCACAGAGGTAAAGTGCCATTTTCATCACACAATATCAAGGGTACATACTATCAACATGATTTGACTATTAATGTTGACCTTGAGCACCTGGCTGAGGTGTCATTTGTCAGGTTTCTCCACCGTAAAAGTTACTCTTTTTTCCCCCTTTCTATGTTGTATCTTTTGGAAGGAAGTCACTATGTTCAGCCTACATTTAAGAAGTAAAGAGTTATGAGGCTGTTTATGTACAACCACACATCTCATGGGATTTGGTTCCTTGGTTTGGAGGTTTAGGAACATGGTTTCATGGGACATCCCAGTTAATTGGCCTAATAATGTGTTTAGTGCTTCTGTTCTTCCTAGTTCTATGTGTAGTGCCTGGGGTCTTAAAAGCTTGCAAGCGGCCATCCAAGGTACAGTTCGTCTCCATTAGCCAGAAGCAACAGAGGAAGAAAAGTCAGAATAGGAGAAAATGGAATGTGTGGCTAATTGCCTCTAAGAACAACTGCCTCCTTCACCATGAAACCAGAAGAACTGCATGGTGCCCAGCTACCATTACTGAACATTTTGATCAAAGATTCCACAGAAGCATCCTGATCAAACAGGGGATAATGCAGAACAGAATTTCAAATTCTCACGGACTCTAGATTTTCTGGAGCCATGGAGGGTGGATGAACCCCTGAAACTATTGTCCTGAGATAATCTTTAAACCTTAAACCAAAAATATCCCCTGAAGTCTTCTTAAAACCAAACAATAGTTTAACTAGTAAAGAACATCTGCCTTGAGCATTATGCTCTTTTAAGAACTGTCTATGTGAGATCGAATTGACAACAGCAACTGGAAAGATTAGACAGGAAGCTGAGGGGACAGTGAGTTTACGCTAATGAGGGAGAACAATTTAGAAAAGGACAGTGAGAATGGTTGCATGACTCGAAGAATGTAATCAATGTCACTAAATTGGACATGTAGAAACTGTTGAATTGGTGTATGTTTTGCTGTGTATAGTCTCAACAACAACAAAATAAATAAAATTTAGGGAGAAAAAGTAGGGAGTTATGCTACCCCCTTTGGGGGCAGAGTATCTACGTAAATTATTTGGAATTATTCTGCACAGGAGATTGATTGATTATTTAAACCAGTGTGGACTCATGGATGTTTGATTTATACTTGAGTTGTAACCCAACACTATTTATTCTGTTGCTCAAATTGTTCCAGGTTTAGTCATTAGCAGCTCAGTTGATGCCCTTGATCCTTTGATATATCCCTATCAATGTTGTTTTTTCCTCTTGCATACTTTGTCACTATAAGATGCTACAGACTCATCTTTAGCCTGCCCTAGTCCTAAAATCAGTCATTTCTCCAAGGACAAACCAAGATCTGGGTGCTAGGTATGCTACTTAGTGTTCTTTTTAAAAATGGTTTTAGTCATTTTAAATATTTTATCTTTCCATATGAATTTTAGAATCAGTTTGTCAATCCCATCAAATAAGCCTGCTAGAATTTTGATTGGGGTTTAGTTTAATTTATAGATCAATTTGAGAGAATTGCTATCTTAACAATATTAAGTTTGACAATCCCTGGACATGGTATATCCCTCTGTTTATTGAAATCAACTTTAACTTCCCTCAGCAATATTTTGTAGTTTTTAATGTACAGATCTTGCACACCTTTCATTAAATATATTCCAAACGTTTAATAAACAATCTGTGTGTTTTTAAAATTTGTTTTGGTAGGAGTCATTGTTATGTTAAACTAAATGTCTTCGTATCTTCCGCAATGTTGCCAACAACGATGAGTAAAATCATAAGTTTTCTTCTTAAAAAAGGGATCCTCTACAAAATAAAGATAAGTATGTTTTTCAAAAACAAACAAAAAAGCAACTTCTAGAAAATTACGGCTAAGGTAGTATTCATAACTGAAGTTATTTTGATTTTTATTATTTTGTGGTCTTTGGAATTCAATCTGAAGGGCATAGGTAGCCTATAGCATAAGTTATCAAATAAATGAATCCAATCTATTTTAGTACTTATTTTTTTTTATCAAGATTTTAAAACTCCTCCAGATTGTGTTTTGTTGTTCCAGTGCTGGTTTGGCTCTAATGTGTGTTAAATGGTGCACACATTCCCCGTTCCATATCCTGTCCCCCTCCAGGATGCATGGGGAAAAGGAAGATGCAGTAGATGCCAACTAGGTGCACATGCTGCTTCTGGCTGACATTCTATTTATCTATGTACTCTGGGAAACGGAAAAACATAAAAAAGAACAAAGGTCCTTGTTCAAGATAATCTCAAGGAATATTAAAACAAAACAACTACAACTACTAAGAAAATTTAACAGAGTTGTAGGATGCAAAGTCAATACAGAAAGATGCATTTTATCTTTACATACTAACAAGCAAAAACTAGAAAATGAAATAAAAAACCAACTCCAATTTTAATGACATCAAAATGTGCAGATGACACAACTTTGCTTACTGAAAGCAAAGAGGACTTGAAGCACTTACTGATGAAGATCAAAGGCTACAACCTTCAGTATGGATTACACATAAAGAAAACAAAAATCTTCACAACTGGACCAATAAGCAACATCATGATAAATGGGGAAAGTATTGAAGTTGTCAAGGATTTCATTTTACCTGGATCCACAATCAATGGCCATGGAAGCAGCAGTCAAGAAACAAAACAATGCATTGCATTGGGCAAACCTGCTGCAAAAGACCTCTTAAAAGTGTTAAAAAGCAAAGATGTCACCTTGAGGACTAACGTGTGCCTGACCCAAGCCATGGTATTTTCAATTGTCTCATATGCATGCAAAAGCTGGACAACGAATAAGGAAGACCAAGGAAGAACTGATGTCTTTGAACTATGGTGTTGGAGAATACTGAATATACCATGGATTGCCAGAAGAACAAACAAATCTATCTTGGAAGAAGTACAGCCAGAATGCTCCTTAGAAGTGAAGACGAAGAGTAGGCATCTGCCAGTTTGTGGCTATCAACCACCAATAAAAAGAACCATAGTTTAGTTCTAATGAAAAGGTTTGGTCTATTAGGATTAAGTGACAAAAGGCTTCTTTGAACAACTCTCTGTGTCAATCAATGATATATCAAAATAGTACCCTCATTTATATAAAAAGACAAGAACAGGCAAATGTATAGAGATCAAAGTTTATTAGTGGTTACCAGGGGGAGGGAGGGGTAAAGGGGGGGGAGTTATTGCTTATGGAGCAATGAGTTTCAGTTTACGTTGATAGAAAAATCACATTGATTAACGGTAGGGTTGCACAGACACTTGATGTAATTGCTGTCAATAAGTTGTACACCTGTGAAAAGTTGAACTGGCAAAAGCTGTATGATAGATATATTTAAAAAAAAAAAAAAAGACCAGCTGCTGAGGCTGCTTATGTACAACCAAACACCTCATGGGATTTGGTTTCTAGGTTTGGAGGTTTAGGGTCAGGGTTTCATGGGACATCCCAGTTAATTGGCCTAATATTGTGTTTAGTGCTTCTGTTCTATCTCCTAGTTTGCTGTGTAGTGCCTGGGGTCTTAAAGCTCACAAGCAGCCATCCAAGGCACCACAACTGGGCAACTGGGCTCTATTCACCTGGAGCAACAGAGGAAGGAGAGTCAGGAATAGGAGGAAATGGAATGTGTGGCTAATTACCTCCATGAACAACTGCCTCCTTTGCCATGAGACCAGAAGAACTGGATGGTGCCTTGCTACCATTACTAAATGTTTTGATCAAAGATTCTATAGAAGGATCCTGATCAAAAGGGGGGAAATACAGAACAGAAAATTCACATGGACTCCAGGCTTTCTGGAGCTATGGAGGCTATAACTCTCAAAACTATTGTCCTGAGATAATCTTTAAACCTTAAACCAAAAATATCCCCTGATGTCTTCTTGAAACCAAACAATAGTTTAGCTTAACTAGCAAAGAATGTCTGCCTTGAGTATTGTGCTCTTTTAAGAACTATCTATATGGAATTAAACTGACCAATAGAAACTTGAAAGGTAAGATAGGAAACTTAGGGGGCAGTGAGTTTATGTTAATGGGGGAGGTACAATTCAGAAAAGGAAGGTGAGAATGGTTGCACAACTTAAAGAATGTAATCAATGTCAATGAATTGTACATGTAGAAATTATTGAATTGGTGTATGTTCTGCTGTGTATTCTCAAGAACAACAAAATAAAATTAATTATAAAAAAAGAGGGCAACAGACGAATCAGTGAAAAAGAAAAAGTTAAAATATCTTAGGCTTAGCACTGGAAATCCAGGAAGTTCACATATTTTGAAAACCAAACACATCAAGGATCATCTTTCCCTTAAAAGAATTTTTCCTTGTCAGACACAGAACATAATTTATTAAGAGAAATTTATTAACTTTTAAGTCCCTTTTTATGAAAAACTAGAAGAAAATGTTTTAGTGTACATTTAATTTGCTATACTAAGTGTTTTTTAAATAAAGACAAAAGGAAAATTTAGACAGTTGAGTAGAAAAACACTGGCACTTATGAACACAGAAAGGTCACATCTAAATCCTAAGCTTCTTATGATAAACACCTACAGAAGGAACAAAAACAAAAATTGCATATCATTTTATGCAGTAAAATATGTAGGATACATAGCTGAGACTATTATTTATACCAGACAGAATTTAGGTCCTTGCCCAAACAGAAACTATAACATAATTGGAAAGAACAATTAAGGAATAGTCAAGTATGACTCCCCAAATTTTTTTATTTTAAGAATGTCCGACTTTGCTGTTTCCTTTACCTAGTATAGTGATATTCATTTGTTACAAGGTCACAGGAATGTAAATGAAAATATTAAACAATTGTTATAAATAATTACAGTTAGAAAACACAAACAAACAATAAAAATGAAACCAGAAAAGAACAACTCTGGTCCCTAATTTCAGTTTCTACCCTGTAAACTCTGACCCAAAAAGAAAATCATGTAGAAATTTTTCAAATGGAGACAAAGAAGAATTGGTGGAAGTTAAGGGAATTTAAGAGAAATGCCATGAAGTTATCTAAGTACTAAAAATAAATCACAAGGAAACAGGAACAAAGCAGTTGTTACTTTGGTATCATAGCGCCACCCACTGGCTAGAAATCATCAGAGCAAATATGAGACCTGGCCATAAAATAAGTTACTGGAATAGAAAGGAAAATAACACTGATCACTCTGATTCATTAGAACATCAGGAACTGCTAACAAAGCAGAACCACCCACTTTATTTCTGTAAGAAAAAAGAGTAACTGTTAGATATGTTTACAAGGGTGGGTTTTACTAATTTTGAAATGCAAGTCTACAACCTCTGTATGCTATAGGGTTTAAATCTTATAATCAAGGCAATTAATAAATGAAATGTCATTTCAGGTCTGTGAATATATATAAAAAGAGTCTCTAAGCAGAAGATGAATACTTGCATTTCATTCCTAAGAAGTAAATTATAATATTTATAATATATTTAAAATGTTAATGAAATCCACAATGGTGTCTGCTCCACCTCCACCAAAGAAGTAACAATATACACAGAGCAAATGACGTGTCTAAAAAACTGGACTGAAAAATATGGTTTCTCATAAAGTCCTAAGAAAGGCCGTTTAGATAAACTAGTAAAAAAAAGTGTTTAAGTGTTTCTTTAAAGTACCACAGCACCTTTGTAGTCTAAAATGTATTTACCTTAATACAATCTCCTTTGCATCCTGATGACATATTTACTTGTTCTGTTTTCTAAATAGTTCTTGTTTATTTTCTTAAATGCTAATATTCTTAAAACACTTGGCATAGAAAATATTTGAGACTAACTTCTCCTCAAGCACAGCCTTCCCTTTAAGACCCAGAATTACACAGAAAGCCTTGACATCCATTTATAATCCAGAGAAACCTGTTGAATGCTGATCTCTACAGGCCAGACTTCACAATTCTTCCATAAACATGACCCTCATCTTCCAAGTGAGAATTCAAGAATATGCTCAAGGCAGTCGGTGCAAGCTTCAAGTTTCTTTAGCATGATGATAATTATCACCTGGTCTGCAAAATCCAAGTTCTTGGCCTGCTCATAGCTGGCTGATTGCAGATAAGAACATGATGAGAAAAGTCACATTTCCCCAGACATAAAGTGCTAACACGGCCTTTTTAAATGTATGACCCTGAAAGAAAAATTAAGACATGAAAGAAGCTACCACCATTAAGGTTTTTGTGTCAATAAATAAGAAAAGAGGGACTTACTTCTGCTTCAGCTGCAGTAAATGACTGAAGGATCTGAATTCTAGTATCATCCAATATTTCAACTGTCAAGAACAACATAAGTTTATCAAGGCCAGTGATATGCAGGTAAACTAACTATTCTCCCCTGGCCCACTCCCACCCCGAAAAAAAACACCTAATTTGTAACGTTTGCCAATTTCCAGGGTGTAAATTCTCCCACTATAGCTACTTTCAAGCTCCTGAATATTGTACACTTCCTGAATATTTATGGCTCTTACAGATTGGGACTAGCGAGCTCAGCACACACTTGTCAAGGGGAATATGCTCTCTTCTTCTAGTCAATAAACAACACATCAAAATCTTTGCATTCCACATTGTAAGTATACACGTATTTTGAACAGCAAGCTATAATTCACTGGTCATCAAAAGCCTCAAATCTGTAGCCCTATCAAAAACCAAAAATGGCAGGACAGGTATTTCCTATCCAGCCAGCCAGCTCCTGGGTTCACATGTACACTAGACCACAAAGAGCTTTTGTTTTTAGAAGGACACCTTCATCTACCATTTTGGAGACTGAAAACTAAATAGGAACAAGAGGACATTTAACCTAGAATCCAAGCTAATTAAAAAGGTCACCCATTCTCTACTAATCTCCCCACTCCTAATGGAGCTACAGGTATATTGGCCCTGCTTGGCACTAAGACCAAAACTGATCCTGCTCTTAGAGAGTATAGGCAAGGTAGGTTCTTCCAATCTAGCTAGCTAGCTAGTTACCTATGTATATGGCAACCTAAGTGATAGCCCACAGTAAGTTCGCCAAATAGGTAAAATATGCCTGCAGCTCTACCCTAGGTTGACTTGGGTATCTCCTCTTCTCCCATCTCAGGGTTCCCTCAGCTCCAGGCATTCAGGGTTCTCAGTGTGTCCTACTTCCAACTCAGACCAGCATGCAAAAAAAGAAGTACTTACAAAGAAGCCTTCTTCCCTAAAACCTTTTTCTTATACTTTACTCACAAATTTCAATATGAATGAATGTAAAGAATAAAGGTAGAAGCTTTCCACAATTACTACCACTGGTTGAGTAATCACAACAGAGATTTTTAGTGAGCTACTATGTAATATTCAACCATGTGTATCAGGAAACTATTTAATTATATTCCAATATATATACAAAAGTGATTCTATATAACATAGCTTTTCGAGCAGGTTACCTTTCCGAGTGAGTCGGTAAGCATGTATCTCCAGAACAATCTCAGTTCCAACATGCCAGGCTACAAATCCAATCATTGCATAGGTTTTCCACAGTTCAGGAAGGTTCAACCCCGGTAAATCCATTCCAAGGAACATTGCTGCCACTAAGTTTAATATATATATATATATATTTAAATATCCCACCAACAGAGAGGGGTGTGTGTGTGTATTATATCAAGAAAACATATCAAAAGAGTTTATTAAATGAATAAGATTCATATTTAAGACCAAGTACTTAATTTAGTCTTTTTCAATTATAAGACTATATAGGGTAAGATGGGAAATTATAATTATGACCAACTAATTGTTAAGAGAGGTACCTAGCCTTCCCAAAAAGTTTTCAATCTGCAATGGAGGAAGAGAGAAAAGTACAGGAACTACTGTTAATCATATCCTCCTGTCCAAGAAGAATCCCCACAGACTATAGAAATGTGAAGGTAGGAGCTGCCAGCTTAAGTATTTATTACATAAGGCATCCAAATGTATTGGATAATCATGCTTGACTTTGGAAAACCACCCAACCCTGGAAGGCATAAGCCCCATGGAAATGACAGAGGACATGGACCTGACAGCCCACCTCAATTCAACTAGCATACAATTTGCAATTTGAGCTACTCAAATGTTTGGCCATCAGTATAGCTTATTCTTCTGGAAAAAGCAAATGCTAAAAAGTCTTAAGAGGAGAGTTTTAAAGACATTTAAAAAACCTTAAACTGAAAACTGAAATAATGACTTAAATAGTTACCTCCAGAAATTACTTTCTGGATTTCAGTGTTTAAGGCTGATTTCTCCTCAACAACCAATTACCCCAATTACTAATACATCTAAAAATCATTTAAGCCAAATTACAACGTATAATATAAACATCTACCAATTATATATGAATAAGTGGCACTGTAATTACTTACCTGCTATTATTCTAGCAGCTGTTCCCATACTCCAATGAGTCCAGTTAAACATTTGCCTTCTACCAAAATAAAGAACCAGTCAGTATCCTTAAAAGTAACAGAATTACAATTAGCTCCCAAGAGAATAAAAAGCACTATTCCCCTTATTGCCTGTGAATTATATATCTGAAGTACATTTTAAAGTTATTTCAAAGAAAATAAAATTTGTCACTGAATTTTACAATTTTTTTCCACTAACTGAAAAGGGAGTTTGCCAACTAATGATATCCACAATAAGAACATTTATAAATAAGGGCTATACTTACCTTGGGTCGTGTATAGGTGGCCTAAAGGCTGCCAGAAGAGGCTGAAGAACTGCTAAAGCCATCACCACACAACCAAGGTATGGGTGATAACCTGCATGCTAAACAAAATTACATCATTTTATGGTCTCACTCTTTCCCATCAGTTTAAATCCTCAAGTTAAAAATAATACGGACATACAATTTTTAATGTTTTTCCATGGCTTTTAATAGACACCAATCACTAAGAGTCTACTTTGTATCAGGCATATACTTTACATGCATTATCACTAATCCTCACTACAGTGTTTGATGGTTGGTTATCAATATCCTAATTTTACAAATAAGAGAACTGAGGTTCAGAGATATCAAAGAACATGTCCAAGGCCATACAGTATGTAAATGTCATGGTGGAATCCATGTATACAATGCCGCCTCACCCCCACCAGGATGGTAGAAGACCATCAATACTAGGACAGACATTTGTAGCCCAAGTAAGACTAATTGCTATCCACATGTGGAGAGCAATCATCTCAATGTGTTGTAATTATTTGCTTCGATCTCTGTACTTCCCTGAGCTGCAGGTTCTCTATGGCTCCTTGTAACCCCAGTGCTTAACAAAGTCTTAGTCACTCAAGAAACATTTATTGATTAAGTGAATAACCTCTATAACCACTGTATTAAAATCTTATCTCCCCTGTTCAGAATGAAGATCTAACCCAAGAAAAGACACCAACACAGTATCACAACAGTTTCTGCTACACTTCTCTTTTAGTTATTTTGTATGCCTGCTCAAAACAGTGGACAGCTGGATTAGAGCACTTCGCACAATGATTTTACTTAAGAACTTAAGGGGAGGACTAAGAAGGCATTCTATCCTGTGACATGTTTAGATGGAGGAATATTATACCACAATCTGTTGTCACTAACTCCCATGCTCAGTGAGACTCTAGATCTGCAACCTAGAACAGGAACATAGTGGTTTCTAAGACATGGTAGGAAGCCTGTTGTTATGGACTGAACTGTGTCCCCCAAAAATATGTGTCAACCTGGCTAGGCCACTGTCACGGGTTGAACTGTGTCCTCCAAAAATATCTGTCAACTTAGCTAGTCCATGATTCCCAGTATTGTGTGACTGTCCACCATTTTGTCAAAAGATGTGATTTCCCTATGTGTTATAAATCCTACCTCTATGATGTTAATGAGGTGGGATTAGAGGCAGTTATGTTAATGAGGTAGGACTCAATCTATAAGATTAGATTGTGTTTTAAACCAATCTCTTTTGAGATAAAAAGAGAGAAGAGAGCAGAGAGACAGGGGGACCTCATACCACCAAGAAAGTAGTGCCAGGAGCAGAGCACATCCTTTGGACCCCAGTCCCTGCATGGAGAAGCTTCTAGACCAAAGGAAGATTGATGACAAGGACCTTCCTCCAGAGCCTACAGGGAGAGAAAGCCTTTCCCTGGAGCTGGCACCCTGAATTCAGACTTCTAGCCTGCTAGACTGCAAGAGAATAAATTTCTGTTTGTTAAAGCCATCCACTTGTGGTGTTTCTGTTATAGCAGCACTAGATAACTAAGATAGCCTTCATTCCCAGTATTGTGTGATGGTCCATCATTTTGTTATCTGATGTGATTTTCCCATGTGTTGTAAATCCTGCTTCTATGATGTTAATGAGGCAGGATTAGAGGCAGTTATGTTAATGAGGCAGGACTCAATCTACAAAATTAGGTTGTGTCTTAAGTCAATCTCTTTTGAGACATAAAAGAGAGAAGTGAGCAGAGAAACGTGAGGACCTCATACCACCAAGAAACAAAGAGTCAAGAGAATAGCACGTCCTTTGGACCCGGGGTCCCTGTGCTGAGAAGCTCCTCGACTGGGGAAGATTGATGACAAGGAACTTACCCCAGAGCCCACAGAGAGAGAAAGCCTTCCCCTAGAGCTGGCACCCTGAATTTGGACTTAGAGCCTCCTAGACTGCGAAAGAATAAGTTTTTCTTTGTCAAAGCCATGCACTTGTAGTATTTCTGTTACAACAGAACTAGATAACTAAGACTCCTGTGTAAACAGGAACTAAAGGGTGACAAAAGAGCACCGTAAAAGCACCTTCCAACTGCAGACTCAGTTATATACAGGTAAGATTATAACCTCTGGAAATGGAATATCCCTCTACCTAATAAAAAAACAATAATAGAAACGAAAACAAAACTCTTATCTGTGCTTAGTATGTGCCAGGAACTATTCTAAGTGCTTTAAGTTTATTAACTCTCAATCCTCACAGAAAGCCTATAAGGTAGATATTATGTTATCCCCATTTTAAAGATGAGTAAACCGAAAGGCAGAGAAGTTAAGCAACTTGCCCAAGGTGTCCCAGGTAATAAGTGATGATGTCAGGATTTGAACCCAAGTAGTCTGGCCTTTGAGTTATGCTTTAGCCTTTATACTTTTCTATTCATAAACTACAAAGACTTGTTGGTAAACTACAAAGTTTACAAGACAAGTGTTACTCTTGTCCCGAATACCTGAATAAGGTTCCGATGTCTTGATTCGTATCACGAAATCTTCATAATTTCCTTTAAAAAACAATAGGCTGACCAATACATAAACTACCTAAAAAGCAGGACGGAGGTGTCCTAGTAACATCTGTGACTCAAGATTCATCCATCTTAACCCTTACAGCACCAGCCCAACCTCTAAAATATTAAATTATGACATCAAATTCAGACAGGCAATAAAACTTTAAGGTATAATGGAAGCACAGGTCCTGACCTTAAGTATGATACTTATTCTTGATAACCTTAGTCATTCAATCAATAAATATTGACTAAGTGCCAGCAAAGATACAGAAGACATAAAGAGCACAATCAGCCAAACTGACCTCACAGAAATATATAGAAAACTCCATCCAACAGCCGCAAAGTACACATTCTTTTCCAATGCACATGGAACATTCTCCAGAACAGACCACATCATGGTCACAGAGCAATCCTCAACAAGATCCAAAACGTTGAGATAATAGAAAGTATCTTCTCTGACCACAACGCAATCAAGGTAGAAATTAACAACAGAAAGAGCAAGGGAAAAAAATCAATTACTTGGAAACCGAATAACACCCTGCTTACAAACCACTGGGTAATAGAAGAAATTGGATATGGAATAAAAAAAATTCGTAGAATCAAACAAGAATGAAAACACATCATACCAAAACCTTTGGGACACAGCAAAGGCAGTCCTCAGAGGACAATTTATAGCAATA